GGTGATGGTTGGTGGGGGGATGGTGTGGTGTGATGGTTGGATGGTGGTGGTAGGGTGATGGTGGTGGTGGGGACGATGGTGGTGGTGGATGGTGGTGGTGTGGTGGTGATGGTGGTGATGGTGATGGTGGTGTTGTGGTGGTTGGATGGTGGTGGTGTTGGTGGTGGGGATGGTGGGTGGTGATGGTGCGTGATGTGGTGGTGGGGATGGTGGTGGGGATGGTGGTGATGGTGGTGATGCATCACCATCATCACCACCATCATCACCATCACCACCATCATCACCATCATCACCATCACTTCACCACCATCACCACCATCACCATCACCATCACCACCACCATCACCACCACCACCATCACCACCACCATCACCACCACCACCATCACCACCACCACCGTCACCATCGTTACCATCATCATGACCATCAGCAGCAAGGGCTTCCTTATCACGGGAAGCACAGACACAGGGTGAGCACATTCTCTTGGTGACAGCATGGCTGTGTCTTGACTGGGCTGGAGGGAGTGTGTGGGTGGAGGACAGGAGGAGACTGAGCAGGCAGACCACCCCACATGGTTGTCCATCCTTGTCAACCCTTCCTATGGCCACAAGACCTGGGTTGGGTCCCAGGGAACTAACTTGGTGCAGAGGTAGGGCTACTGGGGCTTCTGGGCACTGCATTGTTGGTGAGGGCCCTGAGGCTAACCTAACTTTCAGCCCCATTGGCAAGCCACCTTGGCAGTCTTGGAGGAGGGAAACTCACCCAGAGGTTCACAGCAGGTGCCACAAATGTGGTGTGTGTGAGGTCATTTGCCAGAATGAGCAGTGAAGGCTGCAACTTTACAGAGCAGGCCCCAGAGCAGGTGTTCCCTGCAGGCAGACACCACAGCCCACGTGGTCACCACGGCACTGTGGACACGCAGTAGGTGCACAATAAACATTCTCGAGTCAGTGGATTAAAGAGGGGTGCAGGGAGACCCCTGCTTCCCTGATGGTGCTTACCCTGTGGGTTCAGGGGGACTCCCTCATGACAAACGGCTGCTGCCCCCAAAACGGGGGAAATGGGAAGCAAAGCTGGTTTTCTGGTCATGCCAACTTTTAATCATTTATTAACGATTTCCCCACGAGGGTGATACTCAGCAGAGAGGTAACACCTTTTTGTGAGACTGTGTCCTTGGGAGACTGCTGGAAAATGGCAGCACTCTGAAACCCGCCAGGCTGAAACAGACACGCGCGGTGTTCTCGCCCCAGCCAGGTGGGTCAGGTGTGATGGGCGGGCCTCTGCGAAGTGGACCCTGACACCCGAGACCCAGGAAGACAGGGCAGGTGCTCAGACGAGCCCAGTGAAGAGCCGGGGAGACAGGCACGTGGGTGGGGCAAGGGGCTGCCACCTGCAGGCCCCGCAAGCTCCCCGCTGCCCTTGTCCCTCGGCTCTCTGCCCAGCAGGACAGGCCCAGAGCCGTGGACCTTCCTGGTGGCCCTGACTGTGAAGTCAGCCAGGGGACGCCCCTATTGCCTGTGCCCCAGGGAGGATGGGACAGGTGTGTGGTCAGGAGGGCTCTTCGTCTGTGGCGAGCCTGCCTTCCCGCCTCCTGCCCTGCGACTGTGGTTGGTGGCAGTTGTTGCAGGAGGGATGGGGACGCAGGGAGGGGATGGGAGAGGAGAGGAGTCACATGTGCAGGGGCTCTCATGTGGCGCATGGCCGGGGCTCTGGCTGCCCCGTTCTGACGCACTGCTCCTCCTGTCCCCATCCTGCCGGTTCCAGTGCCCCAGCCCCATTCAGAGAGTGCTCGGGGCAGCGAGGCCAGATCATGGACTCTCTTTCCTGGACCTTTTATTCCTGGGAGCACATCAGGCAGTGAACTTCTTAGAGAGGACCCTGGAAAGAGGGTGGAGCCCCAGCAATCCGAGTGCCCAGGGTCTGCGAGGGTGTCACCCATGTGCTCCTCCTCCCAACGTCCCCAGTCAGTCCTGGGCCATCCTGGCTCCCCTGGGTCAGGCCGGACCTTGCTGCCACTCACAGACCAGCAACTCTGGTGGTCCAGATCAGGGAGCAGAACTCACCCAGGGTAAAGGAGAGAAGGGACATGGGACGGATCCTCAGGGAATGTCTCAGCTGGAGCTTACCTGTCGCCAGCTAAAGGCTGCAGGTGAAGGGCTCAGCAGGTGCAAGAAAGGACACAGCCCCCAGGGGCCAGGTCACGGCGTGAGGATGAAGAGGGCAGTGGGGATGGGGGAGGCCAGAGCTGGTGCCTCCTTCCTGGACCCCAGGTGAGAACAGCCTCGGTGCCCGCAGCGCCCACCATCCTGCTGGCTATTGTCGAGAAAGAGAGACCCGAGCACCTGCCACGTGGTCCCAAGGCTGCTGTGGATGGGCGCTGGCATCCACAGCCACGTTGGGGGGCGCCCCGCCCTGCCTGCACCCCGCCCTCTGGCGAGCCGGGTCTCACGCACGCCCTCCTCCCTCTCTCCTTCCAGGTCTGGCTGTCCATCAGGTCATCACCATCACCGTCTCGCTCATCATGGTCATAGCTGCTCTCATCACAACTCTTGTCTTAAAAAATTGGTAAGGCTGCTCCGGCCCTCGTGGCCTGGAAACGGGGGGCTGTGGGGGTCCCCGGGGAGGTGCGCCCAGAAAGGCCCCTATTTTCCAAGCCCAGCCTGCTCCGCTGGCTCCCACCTGGGCCGTGTGGCTGCCACAGCCTGCTCATGCTCCACACCGACCCTTGGGCATAGCCCTGCACGGCTGGGCCCCCTGGCGTGGCTTCCCGGGCTGCGTGGTGTCCCTGTTTCCGGATTCTTTCTCTGGGTCCGGGTGAGCCTTTGGACGTTGCCCACCCAGAGCACAATCCCTGCTTCTCATTTCCTCGGGACCTTCCCGGGAGAGGCAGGGACAGCGCCCTCCTGCCAGCAGCCCTGCCAGGCGGGATCCCACCCCCGCCCCCGCCCCCGCCGTCTGTCTCGGTGGCAGGTCGCTGGGCGGCCCCATCCGTACCCCCCTTCCTCCCCCAGCCGCGCTGTCTGCTGAACTAGGTTAGCGCTTTGCTGCAGGCGGCCTTTGCCTATTTCCTCCTGGAAGCTGGCCTACTTTGAGGCTGGCCTTGCTGGGCGTGCACACCTGATACACCCTGAGAAAATCGGGGACTGCTGGGTGACCTGGTGCTCGAAAGCACCTCGGCGGCCCCACCTGCCCGCAGCCACTCCGCCAGCCCCCGCGCCTCCTTTTAGCGTCAAAGCTCACGCTCCCTGGCAGAGTGGCAGAGCACGGACGCCCTGCCGGCTGCAGACAGGGACGGGAAGTCAGGGCTGGAGCCTGGGACAACCGAAACCACACGGAGGTCGGGGAGAGACAAGCTCTGGGGCAGAGGAGGGCGCCCCCCCCCCCGGGGCAGGTTGTGGGTGGGTGGGGCCGGCACCACCCCAGAACACACCGCCATCCCTCCCTGACCAGTAAAGCAGGACATCCAGGCTGCAGGGCATCCAGCACATGGGGCACCTTCCTGGGGACAGGGGAGGAGGACGGCAGGCTGCTCACGGCAGGGATTCTTAGGCGGGGCCGGCTGGCCAAGGGGCTTCGGGCCCCTGGATTGCAGGAATGTAAGAGGACAAATCCCACTGCCCAGCTCCCCAGGGGAGACGGCAGATTCCGTGTCCCATCCTGTGACAGGTGGCCCAGCCTTCATCTTGCTTTTCCCAAGCTTTTGAGTTTGTAGCAAACCTTCGAAGGGCCCCAGGGAGAACTGCCCCCAGGGGTGGACAGGTGGGTTCCGGAACCTGGCCCTGCCCTGCCCTGCAGGAAGCCTTTCCGGGTGGGGCCGGCTGTGTGTTTTGCATCCACCTTGTCACCTTCGCTTACGGGCCGGGCCTTCTGCTCCTGCACCCAGGTGGCTCTTGCCGGAAAGCCAATGGGAAGCCCAGGTGCACGAGGAGCCCTCCCTGCACGTGGGATCTGAGCGGGAAGGAGACGGGTGGGTGCAGGGTGGGTGTGGTGAGAATGGCCCTGGACAAGGGGAGATGCCACACACCCGTCTGTCCTTCCTGTGGCCTTGTCTCCCAAGTGGCATTTGGGCTCTCTGACTTCGTCTTTGTCAAATCGCTGGACTGGTGAGAGTGAGCCCATGGCCAGCCTGCATGGCCTCTGGGAGCCCCCTTGGTCCCGAGATGCTGGGGAACAGGCAGGAACCACGGGGCAGGCAGGACGGCTCCTGGGGAGACCCTGCAGGTCTCATTTCCAGCTGGTGAGCGTTCACCTGGGTGGGGCCGAGGACAAGGGCCCGCCAGCTCATCACCTGCTGTCCCCAAAGATCATTCCACACATAACCCATCCTAAAAGGAAGGGATGCTTGTCGCCAAAGGCTTCCGCTCACACTGTCCCCTCTGGCAGCAAGTACCCCGCGCGGCTCTCCTCTCACTGGGGCTCGGGGGCCTGAGCCGGCGCTGCTGTCTGCCCGACAGACACCAGGCCCGGCTGTGAGTTCTCCCTGCTGCAGTAGCCACATCTAAAATTCAGATTGTATTTTTAAAAACAGTCGATGGCTTGATTGTGGTTGATCTTCCTGAAGAGGCCGGGGGTGACCGTTTAATGTTAAATGACGGGTGGCCCGGGCCCGGAGCCCAGCGCCCGCGTCCGGGCCCCGGAGCTGTGCGGCTCCGGCCTCCGCCTGCCCCCACGCCGGCCCTGTCTCTCTTCCAGCTGTGCCCAGAGCGGGAACACGCGGCGGAACAGCCACCAGCGAAAGACCAACCAGCAGGAGGAGAGCTGCCAGAACCTGACGGACTTCACCTCGGCCCGCGTGGCCAGCAGCCTGGACATCTTCACGGCCTACAACGAGACCCTCCAGTGCTCGCACGAGTGCGTCCGCGCCTCTGTCCCCGTGTACACCGAGGAGACGCTGCACCCGGCGGGGGAGTATAAGTCCACGTTCAACGGAAACCGGTAAGCGCGGGCGCCGGCCGGACCCCGAGCGCTGGCTGCTGGCCTGTTTTTTCAGGTGTCCCGCGCCGCAGGTGGCTTTGCGGGGCACAGCAGGTACAGCAGCTAGTTTGGCGAAACGAGAGAGGGGGGGTAGGTACCAACAGGCCTCTCCGCTAAGAGAGAAGGAGGCAGCCCGAGTCCCGCTTGGGCAGCGGGTGTGGACGTGCAGGTGCCCAGCCCTTGCCACCGCCACGCCCTGGGGCCAGGCAGCGTCCTTCAGTCCCTCTGCCCCAGCCCAAAGCCAGCTGTGCGGTCACTGCCCTCCTAATCACCCACCGGTCACAGCTGCCCGGCCCCCCCAGACTCAGGGTCTCTGCGCCCCGCCAGCAGACAGTCAGCAGCAAACAGCAAAAGCGCCGGCATCAGCCAGATGCCCGGGCCGGACTTTCCTATTGCCTGTCCTTTATTATTAATCACTCGCAATCCCTCAAAGAAGACAGACCCCTACAGCCCTCCTCCGTAGGGCAATGTTGAAGAAACCCTTGAGTCAGCTCCTGAAGGTCTGTCCAGAATTAAATTAAAATGTCAATAAGCTTCTTTTAAGTGAGCATACATTATGGCGTCATTTTGTAAATTAAAAAAAAAAACAAAACAATGTCCAGCAGGTTGAAAATCTCAGGAAGACATGAGTGGGTCCCCGGGCGGCCTCCCAAGGCCCCCGGCAGCAGTAGGACGGGGACAGCAGGGGACACCGCCCCGGGTCTCCTGACTCGGTCCCTCTTAGAAAGGGAAGGCCGAGTGCTCGCTCCTGTTCGGTTTGCCTACTCGCTCAGGGACAGCCAAGGCTGTGGCCCTGGCAGGGGACGGCCGAGGGGTCGCCGTAGTGCCCGGAGTTCGCCTGTCCTTGTCCCGTCAGTGGGAATGAGCAGATGCCCCTTAAATACCTTCTCAGCTCGCTTCTTCATCCCCACGTCAGACTCCGTCCCAGACGCCGCCCTGCCCCCCAGGGGAGGACGACAGCACGGAGGCTCGGCCGTGCGCTAAACGGCTTTGATTCTACGCTCGGACATTCAGGGGGTGCGTTGGTGGCACCTGGCCTTCTAGAGGGCTCAGTTCGCAGAGCCTCGGTGGAAGGATGGGTCAGGGTGTGCATCCTGACGGGCCAGTGCTTGGCCGTGGGGAAAGGGGCGGGTGTGGGCTGGTCCTAGTTTTGTTTTGTTCCCCCCACCCACCCCGCTGTGTCCGTGTCAGGTGGGGGGGGGTCCCGTCCCGGCACAGGGTCGGCACAGGGTCGGCACAGCGGAGCCCTCACGCCCTGGCAGGGGTGCGCCGGGCAGATTGGGCGCCTGCTTTCTGGCCTCAGGTAATGCTCTGCTGGGTTTCGCCGGCCTTGGGACACGGTAGCTTAGTCTCAAGGGTGGCAAACCGTGGGGGAGACACTTCAGGAGCCAGGTCCTGTCCTTTCTGCCACGTGCAATAAGTAAGGCACGTCCAGCCCCTGCCCTCAGAGGCAGGGCCCCCAGGCTCTGGGCTCGTCCTGCAAGTTTGGAAACTAAAATCTGGAGCCGGCACAAGCATGGGGGGCATGGATCACCGGCCTTCCGCCTCCACTCCAAAGTCCCCCGTGCCCGGATCCCTCAGCCCTGGTGAGTGCTCCAGGGTGAAGGGAGCGGAGCATTAGGCAAAGAGGGTCCCTTCCTGCTGAAGGCATCGGTCCGTGCAGAACACGACCCCCCGGGATTCCTGTCCTCAGCAGGCCGGTGTGGCCGTGGGTGATGTCTGTGCCGCTCACAAAATCCCCTTTCTCCGCCCCGCAGGCCCTCCTCCTCGGATCGGCACCTCATTCCCGTGGCCTTCGTGTCTGAGAAATGGTTTGAAATCTCCTGCTGACTGGCCGAAGCCTTTTTTACCTCCTGGGGGCAGGGCAGACGCCGCGTGTCTATGCCATGGTAGGTACCGTCTCCGCGCCTCGGTTTCCCCTCTTTCCCCTGCCCACCCCAACTTCGGGGTCCCTGGGCCCCTGCTCCACGTGGCGGGTGGAATTCCAACGACGGGCGTTGGCTTTCGGAATTCGAGCCGGGGACGGCTGGGCTCTGCATCTCTCGCTGCGTTGGTTAGCAACGCCCCCACGCCCCCACAGAGAGTGGCAGACACCCCGATTCAGTGTCACGCTGTCGTCACCAGCGCCCGTGATCCCTCAGGAAGGCCTCGGCCAGCGCGGCCTGCGTTGGGGGCAGGCGGGGGGTGCGGGAATCCTTTCTCGAAACAAGCTGCAGCCACGGCTCCCGTTTCCCTGGACAGGAAGAGGCCGGGCCGCGGCGGCTAAGTAGGCAGGGATCTCGGCTCCATCTCCCGTCCGCGTGTCAGGGGAGGGCGCGGAGCAGAATTAAAACACAGCTTCGAAATATAAAAATGAGAGATAAGAAAGAAAATGATAAAGAAAGAGAGTGAAGAGTTGAGACATCTACTAATTTGAAGCCAGGAACCGGCACCAAAACAGGATGAATTTTCCACGCTCTGCTAGATAGGAACATTTGGTTTGCTTTCAACGATATTAGCTTTAATGCAGACGTTAAATTGCTTTCGCCTGCGCCGGGGCTGCTGCGCGCCCAGGCGGCTGCGGGGAGAGCGCGGCTCCCTCCCCCCACCGGCCGCACGCTAGGAACCTCTGTGCGCACGGTCTGTAGAGGCAGCCTCAGCTTTCGCCCTTGGTTTTGTTTTCCTTTCTGATGTCGGGCTTTCTAAGGATCCTCATTTTGCTAGTGGACAGAGTCAGGCTTTTCTCCCCCCAGATATTCCCTCTAAACGTGACATCAGACCCCTGCGTAGGGAGCCCTGTGTCTAGGATGGGTATCCATCCATCGACATTTGAAAATAGTTTTTCTTACTCCTTGTTCACCTCCTGATATGGGGGGCTGAGCGGGCAATGCCATTGTCAGAGTGGGGTCGCGGGGTCGAGATGGGCGTTCTGGGGACTCTGCCTGCTGCCCATAGCTGGGAGCCTGGGAGCCGGCTGCAGGTGGGGGTTGGGGGGGCTGAGTGGGTCAGTTCCTAATCCTGCACTAATGAATCGTGCGTTTGCTCCAAATCAAATCTCCAGCCTTTCTCCCTGTCCCAAGCCAACATGCTCTGCCAACTGGCAAAGACATGTAATTAGATTAGAACGGGGAGCCAGCCACCCGCAAGGGCCTTTGCCAAGCCTGCGTGGGCAAGGCAGGTGAGCCAGGCTGCCCCCACCATTCGAGGCCTGGCGCACCCACCGGGAGCACGTATGTGCCTTTGCCTGCCTGCCTCCCCTCTGCAAGGCTCAGACTGAAACTTCTTTGGAGTCCGACCGAGCTAGCAACCGGGAGCTCGCTTAGTAGCGGGGAGTCCCCGACCCTGCAGGGCCCAGGTGGCCACCAGCATCTCCGTTAAGATCTAAACACGCGCTAACGTGTGACTCGCTGACCTGGGACGGGCCGGGCCCATCAGGGAAGACCTCCCCTCCCTACCTCGAAGAGCCACGGGGCCACAGAGCGGGAGGGGTCACCCAGAGGGGACAGTCCCCTCACTTGGATGTTCACGTGGCACTCTTTACTTGTTCCGGCCTTCCGGCAATCCCACTTACAAGCGTGGAAACTGAGACACAGGGAGGTTAAAAGACGCCCAGCCCGCCTGTCCGGAGGTCTAAGCCTGGGGACCCCTCTGGCTCATCGAACCAGGGGGCTGCAGCCTTGACTCTAAAAAAGAAAAACAAATTAAAATTGAGAACAAAAGTGCTCTTACTTGCTCCTCGGCTCCAGAAAGCCTTGCTGTGGCATCAGCCTGGTTCTCACCTTACGGCAACACGGCTCACCGAAGGCCCCCCAGTGAATGCCGCTGGGGGGCCACACCCGAGTGCCACCCCTGGGTGAGGGAGAGAGGTGTGGGTGCTCCCACGGGGGCCCCAGGAGCTCTTTCACCTCCGTTCGGAACGTCTCTGTGTCTAAATGGCCCGCCCTCCCTGTGGGTCCCAGGTGGGTCCTTGGGGGAGTCCAGAGGGTCCTCGGGACCTGCTGGGAGCCTGCCGCGCCTGGCCACTGAGTCTGCTCCGCGCCCGGCCGTGTCCTTCCCCGTAGACGAGGACCGGAGGGCTGTGCAAACAGCCTCGTTAGTCCTTTGACAGATGCTTGAAGATTCCGTGGCTGCGTGGACAGACTGTTTATCACTAGCTGGTTCGAAGGCATTCGGATTCCAAGTATCCCCTGATTCCTGCAATTAATGACTGGACATGAGCACCAAGCAGAGACTAGCCAGAAAGATCTCTCAGATTTACTAGGGTACTTATTGTCCCTTACATAAATAGCAATTAATACTAAAACATTTAATTAAGGTTTAAGTGCCGGTGGAGATATTTATCTCTCGCCTAGCTGTTAAGCCTCTCCAAATGCATCTTTAATGATGATATAGCCGTTTGCTATGACGCCCGTGTCTCCTTGTTCTACCCTGTGTGCACGCTTGGGACCCACGCCGTGGCCAAGTCGGCTTTCCCTCGGGCAGGCGGGTTGTCCACGACGCCAGCGGCTCCTCTCCCCCTAGATCAGCTTCTGTGGCAGATGCCACCAAGCTCCCGCCGGAGCCAGCCGCTGTGGCCGAGCTGGGTTGCTCCGGGCAGACCCAAAATGCAGCCAGGCTTCCTCTGCCCCGAGGAAGGGGCCTGGCGGGCAGGCCCACGTGGGCTCCCGGGCTCATCCCCTGCCATTTTTCATGTAACAGGTAAACCCCAGAAAACCTCGTTAGCGTTCAGCCCTCTCCACCTGCCAAGGCCACTTCATTCCGAACGGAGCCCGAAACTCATAAAAGCTCTTGAATCTGAAGCAAGTGGGAAATCAATCATGCGTTATTATTATTTTCAAAAACACACTGAAGGCTTAACTAATAAAAAGAAAATCAGAAATGCACCTGAACCTTCCCACTTTGTTCTTTAAGAGAAGCGCACTAACAGAATGCCAAACTTTTGTGATCCAAAGGAACAGGCTTCTCAAAGCAGCATCCCCACCCTGCCGGAAGCCGTACTCTGAGCCGAGAGTCCGCACCAGGGAAGTTTGGGGGGAAAGTAGCCGTTTCAGGTTGGGGAGAAATTAGCTCTGAGCCCCCGGGGAGACCTGGCTGTGGTCTGTTTATTCTCCTTGTTTTGCACAAGCAGGCAGGGCTCCTTAAACCCAGTGATGGGTGGGGCCAGGCCAGCGGAGGATCCGTCTGTGGGCAGCAGAGGGCAGGATTTATCCCAGATCTGGATCTGGAAGCTCCCTTCGCGGCACTCGCTCAGCTCCCCTTTTGGGCCAGGGAGCCTGAGTGGACGTCTGCCTCCCGCTGTGTTGTTGTCCAGCGTGGTCCAGGGCTCCTGCTTTGCCAGTCTTTCCCAGCTGGCCGGGGTGCCTCAGTTCCTCTCTGGGCTTAGCGCCAAGCTGAGCGGCGCATGCGCAGGGCCTTGGGGCAGAGAAACCCATGGATGCCCCCCGCAAGCTGGAGAGTGAGCAGCAGGGTTCCCGCAAGAACTCGGGGCACCAGGAGGGTGAGTGTGGGCAGCCGGAAACGGCTCTCCTGGGCCTGGCGCTGGGACGCCACCCAGCCTGTGCAGGGGTCCCCCACCCTGTGCAGGGGGCCATGCAGGTGCAGGACTGGAGCCATCTCTCTCTTCCTTTCTCCTTTTTCCGTCCTGAGACCCCGAGTAGAGAGAGAAGCCTGTAGACCTGGCAGAGGAGCCCATGCCCGGGTGGCGGGAGCTGTCTGGTGCTGGGGTGCAGGCTGCGGCTGCCTCGCTGGTCTTCCTCCCCCAAGTGGCTCTCCCGTCAGCATCCGTTGCCAGGTGGCACCTGGGATTGCTCCAGGCTATGGGGCATCCGTCCCAGGGACTGGAGGCAGAGCTGGTTCCCGCCCACGCTGCTTCTCTATTGATTTCCCTCTCCGGGCCAGGCACGGCGCTGGGCCATGAGTGACCCAAAGGGAAGCTGTCAGGAGTACCTGTCCTCAGGGAGCCGTCCTGCGTCCTACACACGCCCCGATAAAACTCAGTGCAGACCGCCTTGCACCCGGGGAGTACCAGGGCAGGACACGCCCGTGGACAGAAATAACGGAGGACGTGTCCAGGCAGGGGTGCAGTCCCAGGAGGCCTCCCGGGGAGGAGGCCTTCCAGGTGAAACGGAAGCATTTGAGGTTTGCCGTGTGGAGTCTGAGGTCCGGCTACCGCCTGGAGCCTAGAGGAGGAGGAGGATGGAGGGGCGAGGTGGGCAGAGGCGGGACGCACTGCAGTCGGATCCGGGGAGCTGGTGGCGTGAGAGCACGGAGGCCTCCCAGTGGCACGGCGGCTGGGTGGCGTCCACCTGGGAGCACCTGCGGGAGCGTGGCCGGTGGGAGGCAGGGCCCGGATCCGCAGGTTTAAGGTCAGGGGCAAGGACTGGAGAGCGGTTCACCCAGGAAACCTTTCTTACCAAGCGGGACCCATCTGGACACGCAGAGTGGAAGGGGGGCTCTGAGTCACCAGTGGTCAGGACAACAGGACAGCACCTGACGGCAGGGACTGTCCCCGGCCACCACGCCCAGCCTTTAGCAACCCCACTTTTTAAATCTCTTTAAAAAAAATTTTTTTTTAAATTGTGATAAAATATATATAACATAAGAGTTGCCATTTAAACGCTTTTTAAGTCTGTATTAGCAGTTCGTGTCATCAAGTGCGTTCACGTTGCTGTGCAGCCTCACCACCCTCCATGCCTGCTCATTTTCATCTTCCCAAACTGAAGCTCTGTCCCCAACTCCCCCTAAGTCCCCTCCCCCTCCCAGCCCCTGGCGACTCCCACTTTCTGTCCCTGTGAGTCTGACGACTCTAGAGGCCTCATCTCAGTGGAGCCATGGTATCTGTCCATGCCAGAGAGGTATTTCTTTCTGATAAATTCCTTCATTTTCAAACTCCCCCCGCCCCATTCCTGGAAACGCGGTGGAGGTGGGTGGGGTGGGCACGGCTGAAGTAGGGCCATTGAGTGCTCCAGGGCCGGCCCGACGGCACGTGCCGTTTCTCTGCATGCGGGGCTCCCGTGCCCACAGTGGGCGAGTGGACGCTCCATTGCCGGCCCCATAGAGCTGCCCACACGGGTGCCCTTTGGAGAGAGCGAGCCGGCAAGGTGAGGTGCTGCTCCACTGTCCATGCTGGGAGGGGAGCCAGCACCCCCCCATCCCCCCCACCCATGGGCAGACTCTTGGAGAGGACACACAACCCAGGGCTGTGCGGGAGGCGCCACTCTGGGGCCTGCCAGTGTCCACTCCCAGCATGCACCCTGCGCTGGGGCCGTCCATCCCTCTGTCCCAACCAGGGTCACCGTGGTGGGCGCAGTTGATGCAGGAGGGAGAATGCCACACCCTGGTCTGCTGAGAGCTGGGTGATGGCCCGGGCCTGGCGGGCCACTGTGCTTCCCTGGGGAGCTCTCAGACACCTGTGCTCACAGGCACCGCCCAGAGGACCTGCTTCCAGGTCTCCAGGGTGCAGGAATCTGGATTTCTGAAACGCCCCGATAGTGGGGATGATGGAGGCGGTCTGGCTTCTTTCTGTGCCTGGAGCTGCCAGGGGGGTGGCAGCCCTGCTGGTGGGGGCTTCTCCCAACCTCATTTTGGGATCACGGTGTTCCCCCCACCCAGCGCCACCACCCTGTAGCGTGTATCACCCGCAGAGCCGAGGGTGCAGTGACATCCCCTTCCTATTTTCTGAGAGTCCTGTGCTGCGTGGATGCAGGCGGGGGCTCTGAGTGACAGCGGAGGGACGGGAACCACACCCCCTCCCTGTAACTGAGAGGTGGCTTTGAGCAGACCCCCTCCCCGCCCGCCTGCTCAACTGTGCTGTCTCCTGATTCACCCTGGCGTGCCGTGCCTGGGAGGACTGTCGCTGCGGCTCTCTGGGGAATGCGCCCTGCCTGGCGCCTCCCTGAGCCAGGACGGCTCTGAGTTTCCTGTCTTCCGAGGCTCGCGCCCGCCAGTCCGAGCGGCCCCCTTCCCGCTGGGCTGCTGGAGGCGGCAGGTGCAGCCACTAACCTGACCTGCACGCAGGTGGTGTTCGCCTCCTTTCTGGCTTCAGCAAGGCCGCCTCTTAGAAAGATCCCGGAGGTGGGGTTTCTGATGAGTCCCGGCTTCAGGGAGCCTCTCGGGGAGCGGTGGATGGAGACGCACTTCATTTCTTCACCCAGCACCGCCCTCCGTGGGTGGGGGGTGGGCAGGGAGTGAGCACCAGGTGGCCACACTCCAGCCAACTGACCTGCACCCGGGGGACGCGGCGCCCCCACCCGGGAGTTGATGGGGGAGTGGTGGCCCATCAACTTCCCAGCGCCTCCTAGGAAGCCCAGACCACAGTTCACACTGGGTTCACACTGGGTTCACACTGGGTTCACACCGCCGGGGGCCCTGGCGTTTGTCCCAGTTCCTGCTGGCAGCCCCACTGAGGCCGTCCTCACGTTCCGGGGACGCTCGGGCGTCCGTTCCCCGAGGAGGGGAGCTGGGGGGCGGGGGCGTCTGCCCGCAGAGGCTCAGCGAGACCAGACCTCGAGCCTCCCGGCCCCCCAGCCCGCTGGGCCCGTGCCCTCTAATCTCTTCTTCTTCTTTTCTTCCCACGCAGGATTCCGTTGGTGAACCTGTACAAACAAAACAAACAAAACAGAACAACAACAACAAAAACCCACACAAAACCTAAAACTAAGTCACCGAAGGGGGAGGGTCCCCGACCTACCACTTCTGTTTGCCGGCGGGAAACCCCCAGAGCAGGACACTCGAGGCCAAATATATTTTTGTATCGATGCTCACGCCTATGGGCGACCGCCTCTCCCGGAGTTTTCTTTGGAGAACAGAAAGAAGAGACGCCGGACGGGCGCTGGGGGCAGCGGGGACAGGCCGCCCGGCAGCGAGGACAGGAGGAGGCGTCCGACACGGAGGATCTGTACCGCGATTCTGAACCTGTGCCAATAATACCATTATGTGCCATGTACTGACCCGAGGCTCGGCGCGGAGCCAGCCGGCGAACCACGCGCAGAATCTCACGGAGAACGGGGGTGGGAATCTCTTCCGACAGAGTCACTATTTCTGGTTAATATACATATATAAATATATAAATACACACACAGACACACACACACACACACACACACTTTTTTTGTACCGTAGCAATTTTTGAAGATCTTAAATGTTCCTTTTTAAAAAAAAAGAAAAAAAAAGAGTTGTGTTATAGGTTACAAAAATCTGATTTATTTAACACGCTTAGTATGAACAGAATAAACCGATGTTTTTCTACTTTGGCAACTCAGCTCACACACATAACTGCACACAGGCACACGCACACATATATATACACGCATATATTGGAAACGCAGTTCCACAGGTGAGCACATTCTTCCTGGTGACCTGGTATTCCATCACCATTCGCCCGGGGGGACAGCCTCGACCCAGACCACGAGGCCTTTCCACAACACGTCCTGCATTTGCCAAACGTCCGGTGAGTGGTACCTACTGTGTGCGCTGCTATCTTGGGCCAGAAGTCAGAATGTCACGGTTTTTATATATGTATGTGTATATATATATATATATATATTTGTATGTGTGTGTGTGTATATATATATATATGTATATATATATATATATATATATATATTTGTATGTGTGTATGTACGTACATACACACATATGCATAAATATGATTTTTTCCATTTAATTGTTTGAAGATGCTACCTAACAGCCACGTGCACATTTACCCTGCTGGCTGCTCATAGATGCCCCTGAGCATCCGCTCGGGCGGGAGGTGGATTCTCGGACATTTGTGTCACACGAGCATAGACTGAATTAAATTTTCCAGTTCCAAAAATTAAAGGAATATATCCTTACCGTGCGTGTGCGTGTCAGGGCAGAACTCCGAAACGCGTGAGGGCTCCGGCCTGTTGGGAAGGGAAAAGCGATCGTTCTAGACGCGGACAACCCGGCTGTCCCCGGGGCGGTGCCCCGGCTAATGCGCGCTGCCTTTCTGGCCCACACGCCGGGGTGGGCAGGTGTCACCCACTGTTTCTTGGGCCCAAGGGTGGCTTTGAATCTTGGTGGAAGCGGTAGAGAAGACGCCCCTCTCTTGTCCTCTCCCATTGGCTGACGTTTCTGTTTTGTCACCAAGACCCCTCCTGCAGCGCTTCCCGGTGGGAATAGGGGCCCCGGACAGGAGCCTCCGTGCACAGAATCCCAGCCGTGCAGGCGGGGCAGCCCCTCCCAAGCCCCACCTTGGACAGCTCCCTGGTGCCCAGACCTGCTGCCAGTCAGGGATCCAGGGGTCCATCCAGGGCCCACACGGATGGGTCCATCCAGGGCCCATCCCGTTAGATGTCTCCTCCCTACGGGGGCACCCCGGTCCCGTGTGGGTAGCCTGTCTCCAAAGAGTATATTCCCTATGCACGGCCCGCGTGCAACCTTGGTTTCAGCAGGAGCTGCCCGCGCCGATGGAGTGGAGTGGCGCAGACCTGGGTAAAAGGTTAGGGGTCAGAGCCAGACAGTGGAGCTTGTCCTATCTGTTGGCCGGGCTGACGACCTGGTTCTTCCCTCGGGCTCGGTCTTGCTCCTGATCGCCTTGAAAAGTGCTTGAAACGCTCACCTTTGCACCTCTTGGAACAAGTGCAGGTGGGGCGATGCGTGGAGGGGACACCATTGTTTTTGTCACGCAGTGGCGTCAAGACCTGTGTCCATGGTGTTGCTCGGGAATTAGGAAAGTGGTTCTTTTGGGTTTTGTGCTATCATTTCCCCCTAAAGCTTTAGCAGATACCAAGACAACACAAACATCCGCCACTGGCATCTGACCACCTCCAGGGGCCCGGACGGCACCTGCTCGGCGCTCCGGCTCCAGCCTGCGCCTCTCTGTGGGCGTCATCAGCCTCGTCACCTCCGTCACTTCCTTAGTGTCACGACTCTCTTGCTGGAGGGGCCTCCCCGGTTCCAGGTGAGCAGAGCCTGGTGTGAGTGCAGGTGAGGGCGGCGTCTGCTCTGGTCTTTGACGCTCTGAGCCCCAGAGCCAGCCAGGCTGGGAAGGAGGGGAGGGCAGGGGGCTGTGCGTTCCTGACCGTGGGAGCCCAGGCGTCCCGACGGGCTCCTGGTGTCCACCCCGTCAACTCCGGCTGCAGCTCAGGCCCCTTCCCCGACCACGGGCTGCACCTTGGATGCCCTGAACACTTTCCCGAGTCCGTAAGACTGCAAGCCTTGGGAGGAGGCTTAAAGACGCAAAGCCCTTGTCCCACCTCCTTGTTGCAGCCAAGGCAGGGCTGCGAGACACCCAGGGTACAGCCGCCAGACCTGTGCACGCACGTCCCACACCCAAAAATCTAGTTCTGTACTGACGCCCGTCAAAATAAACCCATGCAGGTGAAGGCTGCGGTTTCCTGAAGGCTGAGGGAGTGTACGTGACGATGCTTTATTTTGTTTTTTAAATGGCTCCCTTATGTCCCAGAACCCTGCGCCGGATGCACCGTGTGGGTAAGAGGAGACGGTAAGTGAAGGTGGACGGGCCTGCGGAATCCAGCCCCACGGGCAGCAAAGTGCGTAAAACTAGAGCGCAGGGGTACCCGTGCCCTGCCTCCCACGCGTGGGGCCCTGATGAGGCGGCCGGGCCTGTCCTGCCGCAGCCCCGGGGCGCTGTCCTCTCTCTCTCTGAGCTTGACCTCTGGAATTCAGAGTCCCTCAGCACACACCTGCTTCCCCTGCCCAGGCCTGGGCCTTGCACGTGCTTGAGATTTTACTCCCCACGAAACGTACTTGGAACAAGAGCGATGTGGTTTGTTCAGGGCCCCAGTGTGTGTCCATTTCCATCGTATCCTTTCTTTCTTTTTTTTTTTTGAGACAGAGTCTCACTTTGTTGCCCAGGCTAGAGTGAGTGCCATGGCGTCAGCCTAGCTCACAGCAACCTCAATCTCCTGGGCTCAAGCGATCCTCCTGCCTCAGCCTCCCAAGTAGCTGGGACTACAGGCATGCACCACCATGCCTGGCTGCTAATTTTTTCTATATATTTTTAGTTGTCCAATTAATTTCTTTCTATTTTTAGTAGAGACGGGGTCTCGCTCTTGCTCAGGCTGGTTTCGAACACCTGCCCTCAAGCGATCCGCCCGCCTCAGCCTCCTATCCTTTCCGCGGGTCTGAAATCCCGAGGTCGAGAGCTCCCGGCAACGCCCTCCCTACCAGCGGACCTTTCTCAAAGCTTTGGAGACAGCCGGGTTTGGCTTTGGGGAACGCCTGTTCCTTCTTTCGTACAGCCCAGTCCATTTCTAGGCTCAGCCCCTTCTGACCTTCACTCTACCGATGTCGCTTTTCTCGGATGGAAATGGCTCTGGTTTCCCAGTTCCGCGTGTGAAGAAAGGCAAGGTTCTCCCGGCGTGGCCGGAAGCTTCCGGATCATTTCCCACGGGGCTCGGATCCTGGCGACGTCCTCGGCAGAGCCAAGTCCTGTGCCCGCGAGTCTCCCTTCTCAGCCCCCGCCCCCGCATGCTCCGTGGGGAAGCGTGGTGACACCCCAGGCCGTGGGGGCCGGTCCGTGTCCCAGTTTAGCGTCCTCGTGTGTGCGGAAGGGAGGGGCCGCTCAGGAAGCCTGTCTTCTCCCAGGGGTTTCCAGCCCTCCCCAGTCTGGAGTGTGAGTGGATTCTCACGCTGTGTTCCGCCCCCGCATGCTCACTTCAGTTCCCCACCGAGCGTTGGAAACTTGGAGACTGGGGCGCGTCAGTGAACCCCGCCAACCGTGAGCTGCGCCCACAGGGAGTCAGGCTTCACCACCGTGACCTTGAGATCTCAAATCAGCGTCTCCTCCCCAAGACGCACGACTCTCACAGCCACGTCCAGACGTCAGGACGAGCCACCTTGCAGGGCGTGGTCTTCCGGAACGCATACCTGATCTGTCGTTGGGACTGGAGGGCGAACGCATCGCAAGACCGACCCTGTCACCTTGGATGGGCTCCCTTTGACTCCGTCAAAGAGAAGCTTCACCTCTGCCTCTTCTTTGCCCAGATGGTCCAGTCTCGTCTGTGGCTCGGGAAGCTGGGCCCACCCCAGCTCTCGGGAGACAAGAGCGGGAGCCAGGGACGAGGCCAGGACCGCAGCCCTTGCACGGACGGTCTGGCTGGACCCTCCAGCCGCCATTTCCAAATGTCCCCAGTGCTCACCGTCTTTTGTCCCCATGTTGGCATCCTCAGCCTCTTTCCTCGGGGACAGCTCAGCCTAAGTGAGTCCGCTGGGCTGCCGTCCCCCATCCCCGCCACAGAGTCACCCCCGGAGACACCGAGACTGCTGATTCCCCGAGCCTCTTGCCCCAGCACGTGAGTTCTTCAAGATGCTGCTCACACGCGCAGTTGGAAGAGAAACTGCGCTTGCCGGCTCACCGCAAGTAGCCGGTGGATCATTCACCCATCAGCAGATGGGTGCTGATGGGTACATTCACCATTTCAGCAGACACTGTTGCGCTTCTGCCGTGTTGGTAACACGGCGCAAGGCGAGACAGGCGTGGCCCTGCCCCCGAGGGCTTTACAGTCTGCAGTGGGAGGAGGCAGGTGGTTAATGCAGGAGCAAACAGAAGAGCTTCCAGAGAGAGACAGGAAGGGGTAGGAAGACCACAGAGGAGAGTGACAACAGAGGACGGGAGGGAGGCGGGTGCCTGTGTCTTCCTCCTGCCAGCCACCGCCCACGGCCAAGTCACCACCTGCCTACTGAGGGTCGGTCTGCGGTTGGACGGGGCAAGATGGCTTGTTCTTACCTCTTGGATAAAGGCGCAGCGCAGTGGGTGAGGCGCCCCGCTCATTGCAGACTGCTCTGCCTGGCTCTCTCCCCCCGTTCCTCAGCAGTTCCAGACAGGGTGGCCCGGCCAGGGAAGCCGAGGGGCAGGGTGGAGACGAGGGATGTGACCTGGTGATGAACGTGCCTTCACCCCAGGCACCGTCCCTGCCCTGGGCCCCGCCCCACGTTAGTCCCTACCTGTCAGGTCTCCGTGAGGTCAACCAGGTCGCTAGGGGGATGAGGGAGCTCCCGACAGAAACCCAGCCCGCAGGGTCCGGGCCACGGGGGTGCCCTCCCTCCTGGCACCCGAAAGCAGCTGCCTTTTCAGAAGTGGCCCCAACACCGCGCGCACTGAGCTGGCTCCTCCTCGAACAGCATCTGCTCTTAAGTAAGCAGCTATTCCCAAGCACGCCGTGATTCATGTAATTTTAGAGCGGTTACTTCGGTGCAGTTTGTCAATTTGCTCTGCCACACTGTTTTTTGATCGTTTGTTTGTTTTGCGATGTAAATAGCACAGCCCACATAAATGAGCCAAACTCTCATCCTCCAGGGATCTTTGATTATTCCTCCCCACTGGTTCCACGTCCACGTGCCACCTGCTACGGGGTAGACTCCTTCTCCTCCTCGCGCTCCGAGCCCAGACCGCCGGTGGTGGTTGCGCTCGGCGTCACTCTCGGGCTTTCCAGGGAGGCCTTGAGTGACGGTCGGGCGTCTTGAAACATGCCCCAGCCCTTCCCTCCCGAGAGTGGGAGGCGCGGCTGCGCGCAGTGTTGGGTTTCTGGGTTTAGAGCTTGCGTTTGGATGCG